AACGAAATCAACGGATCCACAACCAATAGGAATAACGACGTAGTAACGAGAAGTTTCGACATTCGCGGTGTACGATATATGCTGGAAGAATTCAACTGCGTAGATCAATCGTTCGGAAGATGGGAACGGCAGATACAGATGATAAAAGATTCTTATGGCTTTGACGAAAAAACAGTAAGAATATTAATTTCATAAAAACTGAAAGAACAAGACTTGAGATGGTGGCATTCCAAACCTGAGCACATAGAGATGCCCACCCGAGATTTATTGGTAGAAATGAAATCGTTCTTCGACTGTACAGTGAGTAAAAAAATCAGGATGCGAAAATTCGAAAATTAAAAGAGGAACTCGAAAAAGGGGAGCATAAGTTCTTCGAGATGCGCGACGGACTTGTTAATAGAAAAATATAAGATAATATTCTGTTCTATGTACCCGAGAGTATGGAACCAAATTTCTTATTTAAATACCACGATCAAATGGGATATGTAGGAGTTCATAAGGTTTGTGAGAATTTACAGAATTATTATTGGTTCCCGGCGTTAAGACAGGAAGTCAAAACGCATATTGGAAACTGTTTGAAGTGCATAGCTTTTTTCCCCCTTTCTGGTAAAGTAGAAGGTTTTCTACATCTCCCAGAAAAAGGTAGTTTACCTTTTGAAGTCGTACATATAGATCATTATGGTCCAGTCGTGCAGGGTGGTTGTCCGAAGAAACATGTTTTAGTGGTTGTTGATACATTAAGTTCATTAAACTGTATCCTGTAAAATCTACCCGCAGTACAGAAACAATGAAATGCTTAAAACAGTATTTCCGTAATTATAGTAAGTCGAGAATGATAATATCCGATCGCGGCACTTGTTTTCCCTCGTAGGAATTTCAAACGTTCTTGAAGAATTGCCAAATATCGCATAATAAAATCGCGACCGTATCACCCCATGCGAATAGACAGGTGGAAAGGGTAAACAGAGTGATAGGCCCGATGCTTGCGAAAGCGGATGAAACTAAAGGGAAAGCTGGGTACAAAACGATACCGGAAATCGAGTATGCGCTAAACAACACCGTAAATAAATCAACGGGAGACACTCCATGTAAGCTTTTGTTTGGGGTGAGTCAGAGAGGAAAAATTAATGATAATGTAAAGGAGTATTTAGATAAGATTCATCCTAATAAACCGCGTATGTTGGAAGCAGCTCGTGAGGGAGCACGCAAACCGGAACTCGAAGGCACAGGCCTATAATAAAAGTTATTTCGATAAAAAAAGAAGAGCTTCACACAAATATCATACAGGAAATTACGTGGCTATTCGCAATTTTGATAGTACACCGGGCGCATCGCACAAAGTTATCCCTCGTTTTAAAGGTCCATATGAAATAATTCGTAAATTAAGGAATAATAGATATGTAGTCGCTGATGTCGAGGGCTTCCAACTTACACAAAAGCCGTACCAAGTTGTTTGGGAACCTGCAAACATGAAATCTTGGAAACTGTATAATAATACTCGTAGGAATAATTGTTTAAACTAAACTGAAAAATTAAGGTAGTCTGGATACCGTGTGTGGTATCTTTCTTTTCTTCTTTTTCTTTTGTTCCCTATTCCTATTTATTTTTTTTTTTTTTCCGCAAATTGTGCGTTACATACAGCGATTGTCCGGGACGGACAATGGTCAGGGCTGAACGAAACTGTAAGATTTTATTCTTCTAAGCTACGCTCCTGTCATGAGATCCCCGTGCGTCGCACCCGAATAGCGACGGGGCTGGCGTAGTGATGGGTAATCGAGCCGTTTAAGCCGAGCCGAGCCGGAGACGGAAAGCTCGAGCCGGCTCGAAGCCGGCTGAAGTCACCATGCCAGCCTAATCAACGCTGGCGGCGAGGCGGCGAGTACCATCAAAGTCAGGAACGTCGGGCCTGGGCGAGTCGAGATGTTATCTAATACCCTATAAGCCTCCGTCGCCCGACGCTCGAGTTACAATGTACCACACAGAACAAATCATCCACGAATAAAAATTTAAACTTTTACTCCTTTCAGGAATACACTTGAAAATAAACAATTATAACGTAAAATAAATGCTTAAGTTACATAGATTGACAGCAAGTTTCCTTTATACTGTCTTTATTCATTTTAATAATATTACCTAAATGATTTGTACCCGTGAAATGAACTATCTATATAAACTGTAAATACGTGTCCCTATTAAACCAAAATTTATAAGTTATATGATTCATATAAACAAATGCTAGCAAAAGTAATTATTGAATTAATGCATTTTTGTTTGTGCATGCGTTTAATAAATCAGAAATGTAAACGTATGAATTTACTAGCAAAAGTCTAAATTGCGTTCCTTGTGAACACATTTGCTTCCAGATTAGTAAGTGTATACAGTGACTAGGGAATGTATACATTTACTGAATTAATGCTTTTACTGTAATATGTACACATAGAACTCCTATCGCAATATCAAATAAACAAATCCACAGCTGAGTGAATTATATTCGCAACGGTAGAAACTTTACGACACAGATATAAAACTGAAAACTTAATATTTCACACCATAATTTGTTGTATTTTATGTATATATCAATTATGTATATGTCAGTACTCAAAGGCGACAGTCGAGCGACAGTCGAACGCCTGCGCTTGCCGTCTTTGAGTACCACTGCCAGCGTCGCAGGTTTTACTAAACTATTTCGCTCTTGTATGGAACACAAAACTTGTCTTACCATTTCTGTTAATGCTTTCCGGAAGAAAAATGTTTACTGTATCTCCTGACGCAGTCAGACTATGTCCTGCACCCTCACTTTTTGAAATAAATTGAAAAATATCTGTAAAAATTGGTGCATTTCGGGTGTCCTTTTTTCCCTTTATTCGTTGTTTACACATGTTTAAATGTTGATAATGCGATAACAACGTATACCATTTTATTCGGCAGAGTTTACAGAATAATTTGACCCAACAATCACTTGAATAACTATTAATGTTTGAACACAGGAAATGTTCAAAGTTGAAAATTTGCATTTCTTTTTTATATCAAATTTCTCGGAAACTGGGGGTGATGGCAAAAAACTGTTTACGGATTCATATTCACCACAGAAAAATCTATAAGAATCAGCAACTAGATGTACGAAGACAAACAAGTTAAATTTTGTTGACCAGTAATATTGTACTACCACAGTGTGCATGGGGGGAAAGCACCCCTCTTTTTCTTGGTCATTTTGCAACTCCATAGATAAAAAGGATCAGTACTAAACCGAGTGCCGGAAATCCGGAATACGTTTGAATTTCGGAACAATTTATAATAGACAAGACACCGAATGACTGGCGGTTACTGTATGAGATCGTAAATAATAAATATGAGTTATAATAGATTTGACATTAGTTGTTTGGAATTTTGAATATGTTTATTAAATTTATTACATAAAAACCATAGACATATACATACATATAACAGACTGCGCGGTATTCTGGTAGGGATGAAGCAAGCCGTTTACGATTAATAAAGATTCAAGTTCGTATTTTTAATAGTTGCGGAGATAAAATTTGTGTGTAGTAAAATTGTGTGTACGTAAATTTGATGTGAAGATAGTTCTCGAAAAACCTATACCTCTCGAGCTAGCTCCGGAACATTTATACAAAAAGTTAAATATGTGACGAAAAAGCAGTTAAAGCAAAAAGTAAGTAAAACGTACTATTATAATCTGTGCAGTTTCCACAACAATAGGGTAAAGAGCTTTTTTTGAGCGATCTTACGCGATTTTCGTAATTGGATAAAGTTATTATGACATTTATTATAAAAAATAACAAAGCTCCGGGCAATATTTAAAGTTTTCTTCCGTTAATTTTGGAAAGATTACAACTGGAACATTACGTACAATACACATCCTTCAAGGAAAAATGTAAAATACAGGCACTAGCCTACGAATTAAAGAAAAAAATATTTTGCAGAGGTATCTATTATTGCCTATTATGGCAAAAGCAGTGCCACAAAATGGAAAAATTCATTTGTGAACTGAACATAATTATACAAGGTTCATAGTTTCTTGCCAATACAGTCAAATTGTTAACTTTAAACTTTCATATTTTGGCCCAATGTCCAAGATTTGGCCATTTTGCCCCACTGTGCGGCGTGGCTCAAGCCAACGCTCCGTCCCCCTCCCTCTTTCGCTCGTTGTCCTTTCCTGTTCCGTCAATATACCAAGGCCATGGTTACAGTGGCACCGCATTGGTCGTCAGATTGTTTTCGTCAGACGTCGGCCGATCTCATTGGTTACTGTGTGACCACGCAGTGCTTCTCGATACGTTAAGACGTTCAGCCGACGTCGGCCGAATCGTCCGAAATCGGTGCCCCTATGACCACAGCCCAACATCAGTTGCGGACGCTCGATCGATATTCGTGAGTGGGTGGGGATAATATTCCTATCCGATAGTTGCTCATATGGGGGTCCCGAGTTTCGAGCAATTAAAGGGTCTTTACTGTATTTATAAAAACTCACCATAAGTGATCATTTATGGTGACTATATGTGTTTACTGTGACCATTCATATTTCTCCTTTGTTTTACTTTATACAAATTAACAACAAAATACACCACCAAATTAAAACTGTTCGTTATCGTATACCGCAATACTGTTATTTCGAACGAATTTATGAAATCCACACAGTCTAAACTGCAGTTTCTGGTTTCGACACTATAATCAACCAAAGCAGTCAAAATGACTAGTTCGTGAACTCTCATAAAAACGATTGGAACGCTATAACAGTGCATTTTACGTGATTTTTCCCAACCTTCATCGCAATATGAGATTGAACAAACCTGTACATTATCAAAAAGCTGTCATTTTTCTCAAACTGATACAAAATGGGTGCATGTTCGTAGTAGACAGTTACAGGGTTAAATATATGGGCATTGTCTATGTCGGTGAAAGACATAGGAGCGAACAATATTTACTGCATACGATGATCGAGCTTGTTGTTTACGTCTTAATTGCTTATATCTGTTACTTACGTTTCAGTGCCGTTGCAACTGCTATTGCTGAGATGATTGGCAGACACCGGCGTGTGCAGGTGCGGCTGTTCGCGGGTGGGTGTGAGCGCGACCGTGTGCAGCTTGAATCTGCCCTTCAGATGGTCCCTCTTCTTTGATTTGCGGCTTATGTCGAGATCGCTTACACCGCAGTTCACGTAAGCCTCCTGCAGCGAGTCGCGGGACGAGCTGAAGTATCGCTGCGACACAGAGTACACCTGCACCAACAACGGTTTAAGGCCAATTCACACTATCCGTCTAGCCGGCGGCTGGCTAGCCGCCGTCAAATCTTTTTCTAATGGGTTTTAAATCGTGGCATTTACACACTCCGTCACCGTCCTATCTGACCGTCATCCAACAGCCGGCAAGTGACGGTCAGCATTCTCGGAAAGAATGTTTGGCGGTCGGTCGGTCGGATGACGGTCTGGTCGAACAGCTCTACCCATCGTGTCCTTCGTTGAAAGTAATTGGTTGTAAGTTTGCATATTAAGCCGCGTACCCATCCGAGCATGCGGGCCGCATGGGCAGAGGAGAAGTGGCGGACGCACGCCGAAGAAGCAAACGTGCTCTGATGTGGATGGCGAAGCGAACACGAAGCCGAGCATTTGGGACCGTTCCATTCGTTGGCGGTACTTCAAAATGAGCACGCTGTCGGATGGAAGGTTGAATGTGTGTTGTATTGATGTGAATGGTGAACCCGTCAACGACGGAGGATTGCAGGACTCCAAAAAGTTTCTAACACTATTTTAATGGTCTCAATTATTCTAGTATGGTATCATTTAAAAAAGTTAATTCTGCATAGACCAATATTACATTCCTAACGATAATAAAGCGATATATTTTTCTTATCATGCTTTCGCTGTTTGTAATATCAATATGTGAAAAACTAAGTCACCTGTATTTTCGGGCGTGATTGGATAAGGTTCGTTTCGGTCGCTGACAATAAACAAACATTGGATGCTGCAATTCTTGGCGGTTGCGAGAAGTTTTTGCATATAATTTGTTACATGCCAGCTAGTTAAAACGTGAACTGCGGAAAACGCCTGAACATCGCGATTAGTCAGTAGCATTTAGTGAAAAGAACCCTAGCTACTTCTATAGTTCGTGCCACGTCATTCGTTTCCCATTTCTTTCTATTTGTTTCTTTTAAACACAATGGTAATGTAGTAAACACAATAGCGACATACTTATTCCAATTTAACATAGTATTTCACATAACAGGGAATTTTGGAAAAAAGTAAAATACTGTATCTCAAGAAGTGTCGAGTTTTTAATGACATAGCCTTATACCTTTTATACCTAAAATGACAGGGGAAATACACCTATGGAAAGAAATTGTAAAGTTCCATTTAAAAAAAAGTGCAATTGTATTTCGCAACTGCACCAGTGCGTCTGTGAAGAAACTTATATGTATAGTAATATGATAGTGAGTCTTAAGCAATGCAACATTTTTCGTCACGATTTATTTTTAACTTCACATATTAGAACAGAGTTGTAGCCCGCCCCAATTGTTAGAAACATCCTGTATAGCTCTACTCCGAAAAAGGAGAAGCTTAGAATCTTGTGTAACTTCACAACATGTAGCAGAATAAACCTTTTATTAGGATTTGAAATGTTGTACTTAATTCCACGAGTTCGCACCCAACAGATGAATAAATAACTGCTTTTAATGACTAATCGTTACATGATCAATTAAACTCTCAACTGTGACTTGACACATTTTTGGTATAAATATTTGGTATAATAAGAATCCCCTGTTGCAAGAAATCTTAAAGTAATTGCCAATCTTACTTCAGGTGCAATACATTTCCTGAAGACAGTAGATTGTATTGCAATTTTACCCTTGATATAATTTAATAAAACCAAAAAATCTTCCGTTGACACGAGTGTGAAGTTTTTAAATTGATTTCTTCATATTTCAGCTTTTGGTTTTGTCTCAAATATTTCATTGTACCTGTTGGTGTATTTTCTATCATTTTTTTTGACCCACTAACGCTTCTTAGTCTTATTTTTCGTCTGTAATAGTGTATGTAATATTATAAGCTATTATTAGCTAACAAGGGAAGGTCCCCAACTACCACTTTGATTTTATTGATCTTTTGTAGGATGATACAATACATATTTCTAATGATATGTGTGAAATATTAGCCGTAGTTACTTGATAGTTTCGAAGGTATGATTTATTAAAGTCACATATCTAATTATACAGGGTGTTCGACTACTAGTGGGAAAAAATTTAAGGAGTTTTTTGAGGAAAAATAAGACGAAAATCAATAACGAAATTGAGACGGATGCTGAACGATATTCTTAAACGAGTGCATGCGTTAATTGCTTATCGTTCGAAGCTTCGCTCGATAGGATATCTTACAATTAACATGGATCATACAAAACGTATAATGATATTATAATGAAACTAAGATGAAATTTGCCGCACCTGCACTACGATGCATAAAGAAACTACATAAAATAAAATAAAGGAAATTGTTAAACACATACATTCGGTGTAATATGAACCATTTCTAACATGGAGTTGGCATTCGACGTTGAAAGTTCTTTTCAAGTTAAATCAAGAGGGATAGCCTAAAACACAACAGGCAAGGTCTTCGTCGATGGTAGTAACACGTTACAGGCAATCCGCGGGTGATCGCCCTGCAGAAGACAAGAGACAGTTTTATAATCTCCAGACTCGCACACACTCGGCATCGTGGCCAAGTGACCCTGAATGGTGTATGAAAAAAAATACAGATGTTGCCCTACGAATATGCGAAGAGAAACGAGAGATCCACTTACCCATGCAGCTTTTCTTTCCTAAAAAGTATTGACCATGAAAGAGTGGAGATGGACCTATTACTAGTGATGGGACCTCAAGCTGGTTCAAGCCGACCGAGTCAAATGACGTCACCGCACCTCGGCTCGCGACGACGGTTTCGGCGAGCAACGTTCGGGTTACAATGTAACACGCAGAACAAATCACCCGTGAATAAAAATTTAAACTCTACTCCTTTCAGTTTACTTTCTTAAAAATGTTATGAATAAATGAAGGAGATTCTCCTGATAAAAATAAGTCCAAACCTGACATAAATCGGACTATATTTAAATCCGCGACAATTTGGAAAGGTTGTATCATCAAAGACATTAAGTGCTTTATTTATTCATATTTTATGTTTATATTATATTATAGTTTTATATTTAAAAATAATTACTAAATAAATGTGTTTTAATAACATTTTTATTAAATTTTTACTAGTAGGAATTACCCAATCTAACAAATAAGCTAAGTGTTCCGTTAAAATTTCCGGGTTTGCGAAGTGTTTCCGAAGTTTGGGAAACCCTGATGTAGGGTAAAGCAACTAGAAATTGACTGCTTACCAGTGAGTAACCATGAAACAAGAAATGTAAACTATAAATTTAAAAAGTATTAAATGTTTATAAATGGAGTGTAGTTCCACTTTTAATATCCCTTATTTTTAATTCACATTAATAAGTACAATTCTTATTAAAAATATTTTGGAAATGTAGCAGTAATGTACTCGACTTTTATACGTTTCTTCTTCGGCGTGCGTCCGGCACTTATCCGGTGCTCATTGGGGTCGCATGCTCAGATGGGTACGGGGTGTTCGGCCTGTGCGTCTCCGAACATCGCCCAAGCATTTCGGTGCACGTTCGGTGCTCATGCAGGCCGCATGCTCGGATGGGTACGCGGCTTTACAGGTCTAATTTTTTGTACGCGTGTCTTTACACGAGTGTAACCCACAATCAGGTAGAGGTATGGGAGTTCCAAATGTGATTCATGACTTTGTGTGATATAATAAACTTTTAGTTTATTTTTTATCAAACGATAAGGCATTCAATTTGAATTAAAGGAAAAATTATATTCACATAACTCAAAGTTTCTTATACAGTGGATAAAAGTAATAGGAAGTGGAACAGTTTAAAATTGGACGAGTTTAGAAATTGGATGTACGAAGATATTCTGTAGGTTTACAAATGCCCAGATGCCTTCCGGCTAAAGTGATAGAGAACAAAAATACAATTAAAGAAAATATCAGGTTACTAAAAAAGTTCTATCGTTTTTGAGTGTATCATAATTTGGAAAAATGTTTCTGCATAGCATGATTCATTATGCCGAATACAATAACTGAGCAACAAATTATATACCTTGTTGCATTTGTTCACTGCATCTAGATCCAGGGCCGTCCTGGGTTATTGGCTGCCCGGGTGCAAAAACAGTATCGTCACCTTTATTAATTTAATATTGTTCAATTAAGAATTTGATATGCAGTGTTTTCTTTTATATATTATATATTATATATAATAATAAAATATTCATTTGAAATAAATCCTTAAAAAATGAATGGTTTTATTTAAAATGAATATTTTATTCCACATATAAGTACGAAACTAACACATAATCTTTGTAATAATGATGTTATGATTCGTAAATAGCGACTATTAATTACCTACAGTACGAGTACTGTTACAGAGATTACATATGCAATTAATTTGATTAAATTCTGTCGGTCTAAAATGATCATGAGCATCGGAAAACTTTTGATTATTATTCTTACTAGTCCAAGTTTTACATATAATAAACGATCTGCGGCCGCCCTTGAAGTTGGCCGCCCTGCGGGGCGAGGGGGGTAGGGCACCTTCTGCACCCCCGCCAGAAGCGGCCCTGTCTAGATCTTACGATATATGTTTACAATTCTTGGAATTATGATACATGGAAAAACGACAGAAACCTTCTGGTTACCTGATATTAATGTTGTACACGGAGGATTTTTTACATGGAAGATTGAATTACATATGCCTACAAAACGTCTTTTTTTTTAGTAACGATCCACTTAGCAATTGGAAAAGATGTGTAATTATAATTGAGGGATACGTATACATATCGCATTTTCTTGCTGAAAGACAGACGGTAGACGGCTGGTAAAGTAGAAATCAGGCTCAGTAGTAGGGGCAATAGCCTGGCCGCCAGCTAGACTAGATAATGTGAATCACCCAAGAAACTGACGGTTGCTTGACGGTGGCTAGCCGGCATCCGGCTAGACAAAGATAGTGTGAATTGGTCTTTATGACTTTTATCAGATGATACGGTCGCGCCTCGCATCTAAAGGCAAGTCAAAATACGTGCAACAGCGAGCACGAACACGCGCAACACGGCGCGCGGCCAAAATCCCGTCCACACTCGAGCAACATGCAACAGAATTTCCAC